CACCGCCCCGTCCTCCGCCCAGCTGGAGACATCCACCTCCTCCACCCGTCTCGCAAGGAGGACCTCCACCGCCTCCGCCACCCCAGTTCCGACCACCCTTCCCTCCGAGAGGTCCTCCACCGCCGCCGCCGCCTCACGATTCGAACCAATATTGAAGTTAATTCCGACTTGTCGGACTCGCGGCACGTTTGCCGTGGGTTTCTCGTAAAACAACTAAAATGTATTATAGGAATGCTGACCGCTGTGACCTTCGTTGCCGTCAGGCTGGCCAAAGGTATTATTGTGACTGTACAAAAATTTGTTTCATAGATGAATTTTCTTAATAAATGTCGAAATCGGAAATGAGCCAAGAGCTCCGTTTGATTGTCGTGCCCTCGATCCGGAGTGGCGCGGCATAATTTTCCAACGAAGCCGAACGGACTTGTTTGGTTTATCGATCCCCGCTCGCGTGCGAATAAGAACCATGCCAGGCTCGTTTTATCGATTATTTCGAGAGCCTGTCCTGTCCGGCCGGTGATAACGCCGGACAAATGAGCGGCAAAACAGTTGTCGCCGAGCCACGGCGACGCGTCGTATGGCGTTTCGCCCGCGAAACCGGCCGCAACAGTCACGAATACGAAGGCGAGGCGAGGCGAGGCGAGGCGAGGCCGAGGATCGCGGATCTGCGTGTGTGTCGCCAACAACGCGTCGTAAGTAAGGGGAACAGGTGTCCGAAGTGGTAAATTAAGCGGCGCCGGCGGCGCTATGCATTCTGAAAATAACAGGATTTTTTTAGATCGTTCGTGACTCGATGCGGAGTCTTCATCGATCCGTCTCCCGCCGCTCGTTCGCCGTTTCTTCGATGAGGAAAACCGACTGCGCGCTGTTTATTCAACGGTTATCTCTCGATCGATCTCGAGGGATCGGTAGCTAAAACCGGAGGATCGAACGATGCGCGAGTAGCGACATGGCGCGACTGTATTACGAGTGCAGCGTCGATTTCAGAAACATCACCGAGGACACCGAGATAAAACCGTACGCTTGCACCGCGGACAAGTATTGCTTGTACTGTTGCTGCAACTCTCAGTGTTGCCTGCTGGTACAAAGACGGCCGCCACGACATTTTTGGGAAGCCTGGTACTTCTGGCTAGGCGTTGCTTTGCTCGCTGTGTTTATCGTGTCTTCGGTAAGCGGCCCGTCCTCTGTAATCTCCGTCGCTCAGAATGTCAAACGGTAGTCGCGAGTCGCTCGCTGTCCCCGTCAAATTACTGTGCGTGTGCAATGCCATCCGCGGGGCCGCAGGGCCGCAGGGCCGCAGGGCCGCACGTCCGCGCAAAAACGCGTACGGTTTTCGTGTAATTTCATCACGAGCGTGCATTTATCTAAGGGTTTTTTCGATTCCTTTTCTGGGGCCAGGTGAGCAGCTACATAGTCAGTAATTGCAGACATAATATTCAAGGTGTACCACTAGCACACAACGCGCACGCCAACAGGCAAAGCGACCGCGGCGGTCGTCCAGGAAGCGAGCAGAACGAGATATCGATAAGTATAATTCCGACGTCGGAGTTGTTCCCGTCCCACAGGAAAATGTTCGTGGTCGCCTCTCAACCGGCCGTCAATCAGCTCAGTGAGTATCGTTTCTTTGTTCGATGCGCCCCGTGACGCGACACGATCGTGCGCCGGCATGTCCTCGAGCATCGTCGAAAGCGAATCGCGCGCAAAGTTTCATCGTTTACCGCGTAATCGGAGACGACCGGGGGACATGCCAACGCACGGTCAATTCGCGTCGAGTTGTCGCGATTAGAGCGGAGGGGACCGTAACGAAGTAGCCCTAGGGGGAACCACTTTCGCCTCGAGGATCGATAATGATTCCCGCGATCCGGGGGAACGATAATGAATCCCGTGCATTGATTTACATTGCAGCTCCTGTCGTCGCGTAGAGTTGCTCCATTTGAACGGATCGATTACGTCGCCGGGGAAGACACCGACCGAGCCAGGCAGATGATCGTTTGGCATTACTCGCGGTAATGTCTCCTGAAAGACCGAGCGGTTCGGCCGGGCTTTGATCTAACCGATCTAGCGTGATTATGTCGCGGGGAACGTTTACGATAAACGCGCCTGTCTTTTCGCGCAGCCCCGGCCGATTACGGTCGGCCTGATTGCGGCCCCGGCGTCCTGGCCGAAAGAGTCGCGATTTCAACCGAGACTATGGGCACCGTGTATCAAACCATGCAGTGCTGCGACACTGTTGGTTATTTTTAAACGCACACACATGCGGCCGCGGATGTTTATGCATTCCCGATGCGGCCGATTATCGGATATTTAGTGGCCCGTAAAGTTTGCTAAACTTTCACGAGCTTTCCGTCCGTGGGCTCGCCAGGACACTCGAGCAATTTCCGTTGCGTTTCCAGCTTGCGTAAATTAGTCGATGAAACGCCGTGTTTGCATAAACGTTTGCGCTCCGACTCCTTATTTGGCTCGTAGCGGCTTGTCGCACGGTTAGAGTGCATGCACCTTAGAAAAAATGCGGGCGTTCGATACCGACCACCCGAATCTACCTGCGTGGAAATTGGAACACTGAAAACGAGCAAACTCGATCGAACGATCCTTTTATTCCTTTTATCCACGTTTACTCGAGAACATCGAATCAACTAGATTTAACGATAGACACTGAAACTGTTACTCGGCGTTCGATACTATAATAGTAGAATTCCACTGTTACGACTCGATCAACCGACCCCCCTTCGGCGTTGCAATTCTCTCGCACAGAGGTATTGCGTAACCGTAACTTATAAACTGCTCTCGAACCCTTATAATTTCGCGTCGATGGTATTCCGCGGTAGCGTACAAGTCACTCCTTGCTCGTCGTTGCAATCGATCGTTCGAGATCGAAGAGAAATTCGCATTCCAATGTTCCCCTACGCAAATACAAATTGCAGGTCGGAATTGATTAGCCCCAAGTCATTTTGGCACTTCGAAACGCCGGTTAGCCCGGGGAATCGAAAGTTTTCTGTTGAAATATTTTCTGCTTCCATTCAGCGCGAGCATTCAGCGGCTGGCCGGCCCGATCAAAACTCGTTTCTGGGACTGGAATGGGCGTAACTCCCATTAACAATTAAGAAGACACGCTCGACGTACCCGGCCGGGTACGAAGAGATCGGTGGCTAATTAAAAAGGACAATCGAAGCGAACCCGAGCCCCGAAGGCGATGCTTGTCCTCTCTACCTTTATCTTTTCGCTTGAGTTCGACCTTATCCTCCTTTCTCTCTCGCTCCCACTCTCTTTCCTCTCCAAAGACTTGCTCTTCCTTTCCGATCTCGCTGCTTGCTTGCCCATCTCGAGATCGATCCCGCGATAACGCGTAATCGCGGCGATCTTCGTGGAAGAACGGAACCCGGCGAAACTTTTCAAGGTTCGCCACCGCGCCGCGGCTCGGATGTTTACTCCGGTCGCGGCGATCGATCGGGATCGATGCTCCGGATGAGACTCGCGCACGCTTCGACGTTCGTGTTTAATCCGGGGAAAAGAAAAGTATTCGGCGCGGACTACGCGCGACGCGAGTCGGTCGCCCGATATTCTCCGTCCGTGCAATTTACTTGGCTGTGACGATGTCAATTCGAAAATAGATACCGATCGTCGCGTGTAATTACGCGGCTGATCGCGTCAGCGTTTCAAAAGTAGCTCGCGATACGATTAGATCGCGCGGATAATTCACCGTGCAGCGAACGTAACGGATTAATATGCACCGAAAGGAAAGCCGACATACACGTTTGACATTTCGCACTGTTGCGTGTGCGCGTACGCGTACGTGTACGCGTGTGCGCGAGCGTATGCGTGTCTGTAATTAGCTGCGTAGGATTGGAGTTGGAAAATAGCGAGCCATTAGCACGAGATTCGCTGCGCTAAAACCTCGAATAAAGGAGTTGAGGTGTGCGATGTTTCAACGTCTCGCAGTGGCCTTCTTTTTATACCTCTTTTTCCCCTCGGATCCCACGCCGCAACGCGCTCGCTCGAGACACCCGTTTAGCGGACCTCGATGCCCGTACACCTCGGAGAATACGGTTCTCACGATTGAGTCGTTGATTTAATTCGCCGGTGATTATGCTAACGTAAACAGCCTTTGGGGGTGTGCTTCGAGCATGCGTTCTGCTCCGAGGAAAAGGTTTTCACAGTTATCTTTATTTCGGATCTGTATCTCGAGAGATACCCAAGCATCGTTTCATTGGCATTTTACCGAAATCCGAAGATCCCGGCTGCGCAAAGCGTCAAAGGGAAAGACGTCGGTCGAGACACCCGTTAGAGGGCCAATCGCGTCGCAGCCGTGGCCGATCGCGACTGAACGTTCGCGATACATTTCAATGAATTAGCCGCGTGAAAGAAATCCTTGTGCTGCCTGTAAATCTTTTTACGTCGGCCACTCGATCCGCCGGCACGGTGCAATAAGAAGCGGTGCGGGAGCAGACTGGCGGCGACCTCGTTCGACTGTAACCAAGTGTCATTCCGATAACCCAGGCCGGCTTTTACTGTCACTCGACGGACGACGATAAAGAAATGTGCAACCGGCGGGTCTCTGCTTAATGTTGCATGGACAGGAAACCGAGCGGGCAATCAAACTCCCATTCGCGTTGCTGTTGGATGATGCTCGTTGCAATTCAGACGTCCGCCGCGATCCTCGAGCATCCTGCACCGAAGAAGCCTCGTTTTTCTTTTCCGTGTCCCTCCGAGGAAGCGAGAAACGTATTCGTTTGGCGGGGAAAAAGAGCGACGCTGCGATTCCTCTCGAAAGCACTCCGAAAGTGTATCTATTCGGCCTAACCGGGCGTCGTCTCCCGTTTCGCTGGGCCGTCCCGCCGAACATTGGTTACATCTGGACAGGCAGGTGTACGTCAACCAGAGATACGATGGAACGCGCTCGCAGTCTAGACGTTATTGTTCCAATAAATCGCTCGGGTTTACAAGATATTTCGACCGGCGAGGGGCTTCGTTGAAAGAAAACGAAAAGCGAAAAACGGAAAGAGGAAAAGCTGGCTGGTATATCTTTGAGAGGCTCGACGGCGACGATCAGCAAAAATGCGGTCGAATAAAGTACGGAAGACGGAGACTGAAACAACGATCTATAAACGTCCGGTCCGGGTACGCGGAGAGTTCGCCGGGATCGATTTCGATGAAACTGGAGGATCAAACTGTCCGTGAGTCTCGATCGACGGTCAGGACGCGACGACGTCCTATCGGTTACGCTCAAAGGCGCGATCTCCCTCCCCCATCTGGGAGTCGTCCGCGTGACGCCGCATAACGCCGCGAGACAACGCGCGTCGTCCCGTGGCTGCGTAAACGCGTACGCGGATCCGCGTTGTTGCCCCAATAAATCGGTCGGCTTTAAGAGAGAGTTCGCGAGCGACGCAAAAAGAGCGCCGCGACCCGGCGAGAGAGTGCGAATAAATTGCGAACACGGGGCGGGCCGGGCTGGGAATTACGGCGGCACGGAGACCCGAGAACTGCCGGACAAAAGCAATTAGTCGCTCGGATAAGTCGGCGAGCTCGGCAACATCTGTAGCGCGATTTTTCTTCGGCGTCGCGGAGAAAGTATTCTCGGGCAGATGGTTTCAGAGGTGGAGATTTTCAAGGGACGAACAGACTCGAGAAAATAGAAAGCAAACGGACCCGGTTGTGGTCTAGGTCCCGACAGCTCGTAGACCGTTCCGCTGAAGGCTCATTAAGCCACCGGACGATCACGGCCGTAATATGTTCCAGCGTGTTCCGATCGAGGAGATACATCGTTACGAATTCCTGGCTTCCCAGCGAGCAAAGGGACACCGTGGCCGCTGCGTCGGAAAGAGAGCGACCGGCTTCGAAAGAGGAGTCCTTCTGGAAGGGGCCCATTACGTGTCCGCAGGCGACAAAGCTATGCGGCGAAACAAATGTCACCGATGACGGAATTAAAATAGATAGAGAAGTAAATTCGTGAGGTGGGTACGACGTCGAGCCGTGGAGACGACAGAGACAGGGAGAGAGGGAGAGAGAGCGGAGAGCGGAGAGAAAGAGAGGAACCGAGCGTGCCACGGAGGAACGAGAGAAAGAGAAAGAGGCGACGGCTCCTCTTCCAGTGGGAGGTACTAAAATTAGAGAAGCCCACGCGGGCAACAGTTTCTTCTTGAAGCTTCCTTCGGACATTTTCAAATAGTCCTTTACGCCGATAAGACGAGCGTGTTTTCGCGACGTCTCTCGCTGTCAGTCGCCGCCGCTCGGCGCCGTGGTTCTGCGTTCGATTCGCTCGCGAATCGCGTGACTTCCTCCGGCAAGACGGTCGGTTTGCCGTCCTTTTGGAATCGATTCAACGGTCTGGGCGAAATACTTGCCAAGCCAAGTGACTCGTTCGCATCGTCGATTCGTAACGATCGGCCGGTATCGCGCGTCCAGAAGTCATCGAAAAGATCGGCGCAGTCTGTCGAGTAATCGTTCGTCCATTAAAAACCGGGAGTCTCGGGATCCTCGGGCATTTAGTCGCGGTATCGCGCCATTGAATCGCTCCTGCGTTCGGTACGGAGTGGCCTCTCGAGATGATAACGCGTGTCCCTGTCCGTTGCACGCGCGTCGAGCGATCCTCGCTGGGATAGCAGGAACGCACCCTGCCGACGGTGTTCCCCTTATCAATGAAATTCCCCGTCCGAGCCGCGCGACTAAGTGATTCCTAGGCCGGTTATCGTTATTGAGGAGCCACGTCGATTCCGCGAAAGCTCCGGTATGCATTTCGATCGATCGAGTGTCGGCCCGGTAATCTGCGTGCGTTCTCTCCTGATGCTCCTGGTCTGTCTGTCGAGCGGCTTCGACCGCGCGGAAGGTGAGTCTGTCCGGTTTTCTATCGGAAAAGAGTATCTCTCGGGTTCTTCCGTTGGTTTGTTTGCACCGGCGACGATCGAATCGCGCGCATCCGGCCAGCAGCCGCGGAAAGAACGATCGCCGCGGCGATAAATCGTGGCTCGGCCCCTGAACGGCTGGTTTTCCGTGTCGCGATCGAGTCGTCGGATCGAGTCGTCGGATCGAGCGGGAAAATAGTAAAGAAACTGGACGAAACCAGCTGAGACACGCGAGCCGTTTTGCCAGCTGGTTTTCCCAGCTTTCGAGAATTCCAATTGATTGCTCGCAATTGATTAGCCAGGAGATGCGTGTGCACCAGCAGAGCTTGCAAAGAGGCTGGCGTGAACACGTGCAGGACCAAGTTTTCTTGCTACACGGAGCTGATCCTCGTCGGGGACGCGGAGCTGGGGGAGAACGCCATGACCAGGGGATGCACAGAGTTCGTATACGCTTCGAAAAGCTTGATTATTTCGCTGAAACGCTGTACACCAGCAGATAGCCGAGGCGGCAAAGGCCAGGCTCTATCTTAGGGAAAAGTAACTCGGCGACCTCTAACCTTTCCCTGTTATTCGCCAATAAATTCCAACGGGTACGAGCCGACTCGCCTCGAAAACGATTTAATTTGCCGGTTTCCGACGATTGACGTCCGCTCCGGCCATAAATTCAACGGACGCCGCGCCGCGCCGCGCCGCGCGCCACGCCAGATAACCTTGACGAGATAATCGACTACGAAAGGTTTTCACGAATTCTTTCTAGCGACGCTGTTAGCGGCAAGATATCGGAGGCAGTGTCTGCTCTTCCCCTCTTCTTATTCGGTTTTTCGTTTTCTTTTCGCAACGAGCAGCGTCCTCGTCGCCGCCAATGAAATTCGCGGCCGTATTATCGTATTACCGAGACGGAGATAGCGGAATATCAATCGACAGATTACCGCGGGGACGAATAATTCATTTTTCCCCGGAGATAGGAGCCAACCTCGCAAACAACGCGAGACGAGCTGTTCGACGCGTTGACGCGTCATCTTCTCGATCTCCGGACTCTAGAGTCTAAACCGTTTCACTTTCTAACCGTCTGTTACCCGACCAACTATGAAATATCGTCGATCGAACCCAACCGTGTTCGTCTAGTTCGAATTCGTTCCATTTTCACGAGCCTAACGGAACGCGTGAAGCGTTCGTTGGACGCGACAGCTCTGCCTCCGGGATGTTCTCGCGTCGTCGTCGAGCAACGATCATCGATCACCTGCGATCGGCGCGGCGGCCGCGATAGCCGAGGAATATTAACAACTCCGGCGGTCGTAAATCGCGCGGAATCGGTGCTATTTAAATCCCCGGCGGTATCGCCGGGGTCACGGAACCTTTATCGAGCGGGGCCCGGTTTTATCGGAGCGTTGCCCGTTGCCCAGGGGTGCCACGCCATTGTTGTGCGAGACAAAGTCCTCGGTCACGAGGTCGAAGCCGGCCGACAACGTGGACCGATCGTCGCTCGGCCGGATCCGTATGCCCTGGCCCAGATTGAAGTGTTGCGACAGCCACGACTACTGTAACGCCGATCTCCACGTGAACGTGTCCACGTGGATCCACGACAGAGACGGCCGAGACGGCCGAGACCCCGTGAGGACCACTCTGGACTACGCCGGTAAACAGCGCACCTCCGCCGAGCTTATTTCGCAATCGAACGATCCACGAGCGATCGACCGTCGAAACGTTCGACCGCCCCGCCTCGCCGCGGCCCGACGGAACGGGTTTCGCCTGGGAGTTTCAACGGAATGTCGAGCGGTCGAACCTTTCGACCGGAAACGGGGGAAATTGTTAGAAAATTGGGGGTCCGCGATTAGCAGCTAGCCCGACAACCGGGTACACTGCTCCAACAATGTCTACTCGCGTTTCTGCCAAAGTATTGGGACATCGCTCTGGATCTCTATTCGTTCGATACGTCGGAAAGTTTGCACGCTAGGTTCAAAGTCTTTTCCGCGTTCCTGTAAACGTTGTGTAGCGTTAAGCAATGGTTCGCGACCGAATGCTGTGTTTTCTGTTAAGGATCGTTCAACGGATTGTCGTCGCAGCGGAACGCGATGGGATCGATCCAGCCCGATTCGAGCCTGATCGGTGGCCAGGAGTCGCCGGACCAGCTTCTCCAGAGTCGCGTGAAGCCGCTCCACTTCGCCGCGCTGTTGCTGGCGATCGCCGCTCTGATATCGGTCCTGGCAGCCTGCTACGTTATTACGAGGTCTGCGAATTTTTATCATCGCCTCCGCCGTAACGTTTCCCACCGGCGCGCCGTCGGGCGAATCGCGTGCGCCTCCTCGCGGGAAAGGTGTCGAGGATCTCGCGTAACGAGTTTTTACCGTTTCGCGTTTGCACGGCCGCGAAAGAAAAACAACGGGGCGGCGAGACGCTTCAATAAAGCCCGAGATTTTACGACGCCGAGCACGTTCCACGCAGCGCGCGCACCTATCGCGTGGTTTCTCTTTTTTTCACGTACCGCCAGAAATGTTTTCGACTTTTTCCGCCGTGTTCCCTTTCGGACCGCTTATAAACAACCGCTTGTTCCTCCCTCCCCCGCGCCGTTCTTTATTCCACATCTTCGCGTCCTCCGACAGACCGCCAGACCCAGTTCCCTCATCTTTCTTTTATTCCGCTGTGTTCTCGTTTCGTTGCTCCCCGAATTCTTTATTAAGGGAAGCAACACTCGCATGGAAGTCTCTAATTGTAATTGCTTGGCATTGCTAGTTGGCATAGCCAGCTGCGCCAGCGTTGCCCGAATCGATTCGCGCGTCGCGTCCCTACGAGATTTACTAGAAAATTCGCTAGGAAATTCACGATCGCAGCAAAAGTTCCCGATTGACTGACCGTGCCAGAAAATCTTGCGGAATATCTAGTCGACTGGTCAACGCGAAAACAAGGGAATATATCGAATATATTGGAACGCTGATGGAGAGCGGAGCGTTCGAAAAACCTTGCGCTAATATTAACTCGGCGATCCGTTAACGATCGGCGTGCAACGAGGTTCAAATCTGCGACGACGCGTCTCTAGCCGGGCGTTACGGTCAATTTAGCGCCTCGCGACGACGGAGATCGATGCCGGCCGCGTTCAGTCCGCGATAATCGGACAGGTCGGACTGAAAGCATCGTCGATATTAATGTGCATCGCGCAACGAGTCCTCCCGTTGCTGATCCGATAAACAGCGGCACGCGCGCCGTGTCCCTCCTCGCCGTTGTCCGTATCTCTCCGTGAACGATCGATCGCAGGGAGCACGAGTCAGTTAATTTCGCGCTGTCGAACGCGACCTCTGGAATTCGGAAACGTTTGGACTCGTCTTTCTCGAGGATTGCTGGTTAGCCGCTGAGGACTGTCTCCGCGCTCGGTCTCGTTGTTCGTTTTCCCGAAGCGGACTTCGGTCGCCGGTTCCCTTCGAGGGGCGACTGGTCGTCGGTCCGCGCTAAAAGCCGCGCGCAACTGGCCCGTTATCAACCGGGCTCTCTCGAGGGGCTCCCACGAGAGAGATAGCGGGCCCGAAGGCCCACCGGGGCTCTGCCCTCTAATCTTCGGCTCCCCGAACGGTTAAGTGGGTTTTCGAGTTCGGGAATATCTTCGGTCGCCCCTCCGGTGCCTCGTGTCCACCTTTCGGCGGACGTGTTGCTTCCTTTCCTCTTTCTTTATCTCGCCTCGGAGCGTGTATTTCGAGTGTCCCGTCCACCGGGAGCAAGAGGGACGCTCGGGGAGAGGGGACCGGCCGTTCCTTTCCCGATTTCTTCGTGTTTCACACGGCCACGGCCTTAATGTGGGCGCGTCACCATCCGGCTCGTGCAACGACGTTGCCTTGTCGCCGAGCCGACGGTCACCTCCGCGTTATCGGCGACGGGACCCTCACCCCGGGGCAAAATAGAAAGGTGGAATTAGGATAAGGGACATCGCCGGCGATAAGCGGCCGAGCGCACTCTCCGGCCGGCCGAGCAGCGTCCGAGCACCGTCCGAGCACCGTCCGAGCACCGTCCGAGCACCGTCCGCCTGTTTATCGCCGGATATTTTCGGACCGCGTCGGGAACTTTATAGATTCCCGAATCGACCGTGCTCGCTCCCTCGAGCGAACGAGCTAAACTGTTCGCCGATCCCCCAGGTTCCTCAAGGCGAATCCGTACACGGCGGGCAGCGTGGAATGACGAGGACTCCACCCTTCGATGATCCCTCGAGGCCGACGCGTTCACCGGCTGTCCACGTGGTCCCTCCAACCGAGCCGAACTGGCAGCGTGAGTATCGATCCCGTGATCGTTGCAGCCAGGAATCTGATGGATCGCGCGGTGTTCGCTGTTCCAGGGGTCCGAGCGAACCAGTTTCTCAACATCTTTCGTGTCGTTTAAACGATTCGATCAGTTGCTCGTACCTTGCCAGTTTATATACGGAACACGTCGCCAATCGTTTCTCCTCGAAAGGTTGAAATTGAAACCGGCTCGCAGCCGCCACTTCCCGGCTCAATCGTATGCCCGCGATCGCGCTAACGAACCTAAAATATAAATAGAAGCAGCCCGTGTAGGAGACGACTGCCGCCGACAGGCCGAACAGCTCCGTATCGACGGGATCTTTTCGTTCGCCGGCTCGTACCGACAACGAAATACGAAGGAAATCCCAAGGAAATGCCGAGGAAGTGCCGAGGAAATGCCGGGGAAGTAGCGAAGAATCGCGGCCCCGTTAACGCCGCGACGTTCGGAATAAAAACGAGGGACCATGTATCAACTGTTTGCCCGGTAACTCCATTATTCGTGATACTCGAATCGAAGCGTTCTTCTGTTTGTTCAGGGTGATGGATGCACGGCGCCGAACGGATCCCAGGGATCTCGCGCCGTTTCGAGAGTCATCGAGCGCCTGACGAGGCTCGTCGAGGAGCAGTCCCGGGCAAACAAGGCCGACAGCCTTTTGTTTCGAGTGCGACGTCGGTCTTCCGGTGGAATCCCTTCAGCCCGGCTTCGAGCGGCGAGGGAACCAGGTGTCTCGTTGTTTCCACGTAATTAGTCATCCTCGGAGGTCGCGTAACGGGGAGGAAGCAAACAGCCGAGGAGTATACGGACCGATAAGTTGGACACTGCTGGGCAAGCCGAGCCGGGCTGGAAAGTAAATTCAACGGTGGCCAACAACTTCGATAAGACAACGCGTGTACAGGCAAACTGCATTCCCGTGTAGACGTTTTATATTTTATTCGCCGCGAACACGAGCTCTGTATCTCTGTATCGGCAACTTGTACTCGATTTATGGATTCATCGATGCGTGTATGGGAAACGGAATAAGATGCTCAATGAAATCGAGAGTCCCCTCGATCGACCAACGTCTTTTCCAATGTTCTCTATGAAATCGCCAGTCCCGTTGGTCGAGGCGACTGTTCGCACACGAAAGTTTCCCAAAAAGTGTGTTTTCTTGGAACCGACAGAACGACCGCGTCACGACGTTCACGCCTCAATGGAGACGCGTAGCGATGCGTTGTAGAAAGTGGTGAATTGGAGATTTTGCAAAAGGTTTGTTCGATCGAGGATAGATTTGTCGGCAACCACCCCGATTCGTTCCAAGTAGAGGAGGAGCAACATAGTCACTGGGGCCACGGCAAACAATAGCGTATTCCATTAGGTGTAGCCTGAGAAGCAACCAGCCAGCCATAACCAGGTGCTCGTCGGGGTCTGGATCTAACCCGACCGCTTGGCCACCGCATTCGTTGCGGCCGACGAGAATCAATCACTCCGCTAAACGTATGGGCTCGATTCGTAGGTAGATAGACCCGATCCCCGATCCCCGATCGTCGAACCACCGAACATCTCAGATAAATATCTGCGGCTCGTATAACTGGTTCATCCGTGAGCCGCTAACAAGACGTTTCTCTCGTTCGCCGTTCGTGTTCCCTTATTTTTCTCATTGTCCTACCAGCGAAAAGAACAAGTCGGGTCCCCGTCACTTCCGCCAGACATCTGTATTATTATTTAACAAAGCCAATTAGACGGGTTTAAGAGGAACTTATTAGAAACAAGAAAACCTCCCTCTCCTTTCTTCTGGCTTTTACTTAATCCTCGCCTCATGAATTATATATTTTTCTCGGTTTCGAGCAGAGGAGAAGATAGCGGAGACGCGTAATATCCCGCCGGTCTGTTTGCTGCGTAGCGTGTGGATCAGCGGGATAATAATCTCCGTAATTAAAAGGAGCTTAAGGCCACAGCGATCCAAGGATTAAGAGGCTCGCGCGCGATTCCCCTGCAGCCGGGCATCCTGTCGCGGTGATCTCCGAGCCAGTACCAGCCCCGCGTTAAACGAATCTTTCCGCCGATCGAACGTACCTCGAGAGTATCGCGACGGACCGTGCGGTTTTCTCGTTAGACACGCCTTTGTCTCGCGATCCGTTATCGTGTCCGGCTAACGGCCGATGCTCGACCGTGAAGAGAGTCTCGGGAATTGTTCGGTGACGTCGTGAAATTTCATCGTTCCGAACGGCGCACGAAACTCCGCTGCCGTTAGGCAATAATATCGGCAACGTGCTCTCCTCGGGAGCATATTTCATTTGGCCAAGTATTTCGCGAACGGCCACTCAACGTCGCACCGACGAGTTCGGATTATCCCCGCGGGAAAACACCGGAGCCCGGCTAGAGGGACCGACGACGCATTATCCGCCGTAAGAAATAAGCAAAAATAGGAGCACCGCCCTGGCGCCAACGAGTTAATAGCTAATTGGCTAATGCCGGGCTAAAAATAAGGCGGCGTACAAACGCGACTTTGAAACGCTCGTATCCGCGTTGCCTATCGGCCCGGCGTTCGTCGCGACGGTCTCCGCCAAAGAAGATCGATGGACGGCGAGAGTTGCTCCGTGGATTTCGAACGTATCCGCGCTCGATTTCACGGCGAAAACGAAGAAGAAGCGGCAACGAGGGCCGAACCTTGGCGGACCAGAGCGATTATACGGTCCGTGGACGGTACAGCGACGGTCAGGCCGCACGATAAACTGCTTTCGCGGAATCCACTTAGGGCAACGAATTACCCGAGCGAACTTAATAAGCGTCTCCAGCCTGTTATATTCGCGTCACCGCAACCGGTCGATCCAGGTGGCGATCCCTCGCCTGTCGTCGACGACCGAGCGAAGGGGATTCCAACGCGCGACCGTGAAAAGGGCCAGCGAGAGCCACGCGTATGCATAATGCGGCGAGCCGGTGAATGGGAAACCGATTATCGGGACAAAGGGTGACGATTTATCTCGTCCATCTGTTCCCGCCCCGGCCCTCCCTTCGCGCTTTCGTTGCGCCGGTAACGGGTCCAGCGAACGTGCTACTAATTTTCCCCTCGAGATTCCGAGATACCGCGAACAATTTCCGTATCGGGAGCACGATCGTCGAGCTTCGAGCAGCTTCGACCGCGAGGTAATCGATGAATAGAAAACGCCGGGACGACAAAGGCAACGGAAGGAATCTATTGCACTGGGAAAGCCTAGATTAGCAGAAACGGCAGCATTCTTGCATCTTCCGCGAGCGATCCGACTGGAATTTTTCGGCTTTCGCGCAACTCGAAATCGCCGGTGAACGGTGACCACCGCAGTGCTGTCAGCGCTGGCGATGCGGCAAAAGCTCGCGCCAGCGTGACTTTCGCGAGTACTTTGATTCGCGGGCGAGGGAAGAACTGGCTCGAGACGACATAGCGCACGACAAAGCTAAAAAGGCGATCGGCTAGTGGGAGAAGGGCTGACGGTCTACGGTAGAAGCAAGCTGCCGCCTCTTCGCGTCGTCCCTCTTCCGTTCGGGACTCTTTCTCTCGAGCACGCTCGCGCGCGTTGCCAACTGACACAGCTAGAGCATCGTGTGTCCGTACGTGCATTTCGGTGGGCGCGTGAGCGCGCGTGCAGGCGTGCGTTCGCACAGACGCTCACCAACATCGACGCAACGTCGTGGCGTCTCTGCCTCGGGGCTCAGGCGCCACTGTCTCCCTTCTCCCTGTCCCTCGTTTCCCTCGCCGACCGGCCATTTCCCGGCGTCGATCCGCGCCACTCAACCTTTTACCAACACACCAGAGAGAGAGAGAGAGAGAGAGAGAGAGAGAGAGTCCACCACCCGGCCTGCCCGCATACATGCTACGTTCTGGTACAGTGGCAGCCGTTAACGCAAGTGGCACACCACGGGCCATGTGTGTGCTCTTGATCCTCCTAACCGATCGAATTGGTTCGATGACGACCCTATGAAGATCGATGATGGCACCGAACACGAGCACGGAATAGTAGGTTCGGATCTTACGGGGGGACCTCGTAGATCCCGGCCGAGAATCGTGCATCGAAAGCACAGACTCTCGCTTATGGATACCAAATGTGCTCCAGAAAAGCTGGGTATCGCTGGGAGCTGCTTTTCAGTCGACTCTCGATCGAGGTTCTGTCTGTTTTCGCTTCTGTACGGTTCTTAAGCTTTCCGTGGATCCTGGGCATTCGGTTTTAGTTCTCGATGCGTGGATGTACTTATCCGCTGTTATAAGTATTCCCATGTTGAAACTGTTCGAAGAAACGATTGTTCGGTATCTATTGTGAATTCATGTTTAGATGTCAGCTGAAACTGACGATAACGAACGCGACGAGATTCTAATACGTTGCTCCGCGTTTCTCCGTTTTCCCCGCGACAGCGCGATCGCGCTACATCGGATCGGATCGGGTCGCGTATAATTGGAATTCGGGTCGACGGAGGCCGATAAAAATCGATGCCCGATATCGTTGAAGTAACGAGCGGTTCCGCTGGAAACTAGCGGGGACTAGATCGCAGATTAACGGCAGTCGTTGAACGTGCGTATTGTGCGCCGGTTCACGGTGCGTGGTTCACCGACAAGGGGCACACTATCGCAGCCGGAGGCGGGACCCGTTTAAAAACTATCTGGCGGGTGTTCTTCGCCGGGTGCCCCTGGTGCGCGCCAGCCGCTGTGGAGTCGTCCGGCTGCACGGCTGGCGTTTGCTTTTCGAGGCTCCGAAGTGAGTCAGTCAGTCAAGCGTCGACCATCGAAGGGATCGGTCGCGGAGCGTTCCCTCTTGTTCGCCGTCTCGACGATTTCCTTTCGCCACGGATCGTTCCCTGCGCGGATTCGTTATGAATCATTCACCGATCGCGAAAAGGACACACAGATCGTGACCGGTTCCCGGAGTTTCGAACACGAGCGACGTTCGATGGGGTTTCATTGGAATTTCCATTGATCAACCCCCGCAGAAGTTACATTACCAACGCGACAGAGGATCCATTGTTTCGAGCCCGATTATACACACAGTGCGTGCGATTATTTCTCATCGACGTTCATCGACAATGTTGTCCAGAGACCTGTTGGCGTTCGCGATGGTGGTGTCCAGCCTGTCGATCGCTGTCGGCGCATCCGTGGATCTCGACTCGGGCGACTACGAGGTGTTTGGCGACAACGAGGGAAAGTCCGATGACAACAGTGGTAACGTTGCAGTTTCGGGCGCATGATTTCATGGGAAAGCCGGGAGCGCGTCCGACGCGGCGCGGCGTGGCGCGACGCGACGCGACGCGAACCAACGACCGCGTGAACGAGGCCACGTGGGCGGCGAGGGTGCTCGACCGGAATCAATGGGGAAACTCGACCGTTTTCTCGTAGTCGCTAAACCATCTAGACTCTGCTATAGAGAGGTTAGCTTCTCGGGTAACGCCGTTTTCGCGTGAATCTCGATCGTCGCGTTCCTGCACGCCTCGTCGTGTTCGCCGCTCAAGTTTTACTGTTACACGTGGCCTTCGCTGCATAGTAACGTTCCGCGAAGGATGCTCCGCCAGTTACGGTGCATTTTCGTTTCGCTGGCCGTACCGCGACAGGCGACCCGCGATTCTTCCGAGCCGCGCGCATCGGGCTAATTAAGCCCCCGGCGCGCGAGATATTGTCAAAGATCGCGGGCTCGTTTTCTGCTCCGAACGGAAAACCCTTTCCATCGACCTAGATCCGTGCAAGACGGAATCTAGGTCCCTGAGAATCCAGGGAAACCGACGCCGAACTGCATTAGCGAGCAGCGTCGCGTCAACGAGACACGCGACTCGCGATTCGCGATCTTTCCAACGAATATTCGTATCGCAGATTTCGATTTCAGAATGCCGCGACCGCGGAGGGGAATTTCCCGTTCGCCGAAATGTTCGTAGGCACCGCCGCTTTCACCGTAGGTCCCGCGAGTTTCGAAATCCAGCGGATATCGCTGAAAACTCCCATTCTTCCGTGGCTAGGCCCTAATCTCTCGAGCGGCAACTGCGATGACCGCGATGTCGCGAGTCCAGATCGATCCGCGGATTAACGATCGCAGAGGCGGCCGATCGACTTGGAAGTTGGTCGGTCTCCCGCGGGCGACCAGTCGGTTAACGAGGGGGGAAACAGCAGAAACGAGAAAAGTTGCGGAGTAGCGAGCGTCGCGACCGCGCGCTCTTCGTCCGGAGCCGATGAAAAATAAAGAATGCCAGATAAGAGCCGAGAGAAGCAGATGCAGACTCGCCGACCGCTACGTCACACGGCGCAGCCACGGTAATTGCAAAATTGTACGTTCTCCGGAACGACGGGAAGAAGAGGAGGAGGTGGAGGAGGAAGAGGCGGCGGGGCGGAGGGGGAGAAAAAGGCATCAACGACGTGTTTAAACTCGTCTGCCGGTTTTTGCCGCGGCCGGTCAGCGCGCGGCGCAATTAAGGACGCGTGCAATTTAAACGTTTTATCGATGCACGTGAGTATTCGTCGATCGTCCAGAGAGGGAAAGAGAGAGAGAGAGAGAGAGAGAGGGGAGAAAAGGA